GGTCCCCTCAAGGCAAAACTCCTTCCAAGACTGAAACTCAAATGGAATACACATGCAGGCATGTGGTCTTCCTGCTGACCATGTTGGTCACCGATAAGGGGAAGTGAGGGAAAAACAGCAATGAAGTTGTGAGTTAAGGACGATTACATTCAATAGACTCCTGTTAACCTGGATTGAGACCTGGCTAACCATCAATATGATGAGACCTGGGGACTCCTGGGCCTAGAGCCAGGGATCTGTCTCCAGAGGACTAGAGTGGAGTGTGAAGCATCCAGCTGATATGAAGTGGGGGGAGATGCAAAAGAACACCCACACTTGCAGATGGTACCCATCTGACCTGGCATCAATGGCTAGATGATCAGAACATGACTAGAGGAAGAAAGAAGAGTTAAAAAAAAAAAAAAAGAGTAACCCACTACAATTGGATGAACTTAACCTATGCTTGTGGATGCAGTGTGAACAAATCCTTATAGTGAGGTTCATTCCCACCCCCTTGGTACACAGGGTCAATAAATAAGCATGAGGAACTTAGACACTGGCTACCCAAAATGGGGGTGGGGGCTACAAAGGCAAGAAGTGAATGGCTTACAAGCTTTCAATAGGGAACCTAGTTCCAGAGGTTATGGGGAAAGGCAGAAACTCCACTGAATTGTTTCCAACCTGTATGGATGGGATTGATTAAAAAGTGAGGGGGCTAGGACTCCAGTGGTTCAATAGGAAATGATTGTTATCAGATCTGACAATGAGTACTGGAAAGGTAAATGTAAATGTTTGGTAACAAAAGGAGGGGAGTGGCTGATTTTGCAGTCCAGGAGCAGAGATCCCTGGTACCATCAAGGGAGAAAAATGAAGTGCAGAACCCTGTCTGGGGAGGCAGTGACACCACAGGATGGAGAAGGGCTGTGTGCTGGCAGCCGGGGGCAGGTGTGTGGGGTGTACCCTTTAGTTGCTTGATGATGCATGAGAGGGGACTCTAATCATTGCAATGAAATGAAATATGATAGGAAGAATGTAAAGATAAGTTCTCCCATGTAAATTAACACATAATTCACAATAAAAACTCAACCCCCCC